GAATGATGAGGGCAATGAATGTACAAATGTGCTTTATACAATTGATGTATGTATGAATTGTGATAAGAGTTGTATGAGCCCCTAATAAAATAATTTTTAAAAAAACTATTCAACATTCAGCCATTTCAAGAGGTAGCATATGATTAGGAACCAATGTTGCTGAAGGAAGAAGTTCAAGGTGCACATTGAAATGTTTCAACCATCTAATCAAGCTCTGAAAGCACCCACTGGTCTGTTCCAAGAAATTTAGAAGAGAGCTAAACAATTGTGAGGATTTGGTTTTCTTGACATTTAAATTGTAATCCATACTTCATCAGTGAGTGTTTCAAATTTTCCTTGCTTTCACGTAGCAAGGTATTATATACATATCACAGGCTAATAAGTCTTCTTCCAATACTGATGCAGAATTTTGTTTTATGAACTCTTTCTCAAGGCCAGTAAGTAGGCAAGAACAATAAATCAACATTTTAGCTACCTGACCAAACAACTGGAAGAGATCCATATTTTGCCTATTCCAAAGAAAGAAGATCCATTAGAATGTGGAAATTATTGAACGATAGCATTAATATCACTTGCAAGTAAATTTTGCTGCACATCATTTAAACATGGTTTCAACAGTACAAAAACAAGGAGCTACCAGAAACTCAAGCCAGATTTTGAAGAAGACATGGTTTGAGGGGTATCATTGCTGATGTTAGATGGATTTTGGCTGAAAGCAGAAAACACGAGAAATATGTTTATTTTGTTTTATTGATTATGCAAAGGCATTTGACTGTGTGGATCATAACAAACCTATGGGTAACATTGAAAAGAATGAGAATTCCAGAACACTGCATTGTGCTCAGACGGAACTTGTACATGCCCAAGAGTAGGTCAATCTCACAGAACAAGAGAATCCTGTGTAATTTAAAATCAGGGAAAATGTACAACTGGGTTGTATCCTTTCACTGTGTTTACAATTTGTATGCTGAGCAAATACTCAAAGAAGTTGGACTATATGAAGAAAAATTCTGCATCAGCATTGGAAGACGACTTAGCCTATGATATGCAGCTAACACCTTGCTAGCTGAAGGTGAAGAGAACTTGAAACACTCACTGATGAAGATCAAGTGCTGTGTCCTTTAGTGTGGATTATAATCTAATGCAAAGACACCAAAATCCTCACAACTGGACCAGTAAGTTACATCATGAAAATGAAGAAAAGATTGATGTTATCAAGAATCTCATCTTCCTTGGATCTACAATCAGCGCTCATGGAAGCAGCAGTCAAGAACTTAAGTGGTACATTGCATCGGTCAAATCTAGAGCATAAGATCTTTTTTAAGTGTGGAAAAGCAAGAATGTCACTTGGAAGAAGAATGGACAAATCTGTCTTGGAAAAAGTACAGCCAGAACTCCTTAGAAGAACTATTGCTAACAAAAAAAGTCAATAAACTTGTTTAATGACCTATTTTGAATATCTTTTTAATATTTTCATTAGAGAAATTTAATAATAAAATATGACAAGTATGCAATTTACTTCAGTAAATTTGTTTTAATGCAGAAGTACCCACTTGTCTATGGAAATATTTTATATATTATTTTTCTCTGCAGGTTGTATACTTAGATGACTCTGTTTCATCCTTCATACAAATCCGGGGATCTGTTCCATTGTTTTGGGAACAACCAGGTTTGCAAGTAAGTGCTTCACAGTCTATGATTTTTTTTCCTCTTGAAAATTTTCTATGCCCTCTAAGCTTTCAGGACAGCTCCTGTATTAATAACCTATTATTCTACCTAATCAAATTTGCAACAGAGGATCTGAGTACATAGTTTCAAGTAGCCATAGATACTCAGTTGCTGTACTTAATGTTAAAGTACCTTTCAAAGTACTTTCAGGTTTATTATCTCATCTTATTAAAAAACGGTCATTAGAAAAGTTAGAATATAATAAAGACAATGTACCGGAAAAAAAAAAAAAAAAAGGTCATCGTTGAATTGATTCTAACTCCTAGCAGTCTTAATGTGTGTCAGAGTAGACCTGTGACCATAGGATTTTCATTGGCCTGTTTTTTTGGAAGTAGATCAACCAGACCTTACTTCTCGACCACATCTGATTGGAACCCAGCACATTAGCCAAGCATATCATCCAAGTACCATTGGCACCATCGAGGGACTCCATCTCATTATCTTGGCATGTGACAGTTTAGCCCCTTAAACAGCAGAAGAATGCAGTTTTATAGATTCTGGAACCAGTTCAATTAATTTGAACCTTTGTTCTACCACTGCTAGCAGTTAGACAAATGATTTAATGTCATTGTGTCTCGGTTCCTAATCTATAAAGTAGTAATTGTAGTAGTATTTATAGAGTTGTTGCTGGATTAAATGAAAAGCATTTAAATACTATTGGCTCCCAGAACTGTACCTGTAGTTAATAGTGTATCGGTTAAATTGTATTTAGTAGTTTATAGTGACTTATTATCTGGCTAATTTTCCTAAAATTCTTCTCATCTTGATTTTTTTCCTTCCTTTATTAATATGTGTCTAATCTTGAAAATGTAAGATTTTATTAAATATAAGGTCATAATATTGGATTGTTCATAATAGTGTAGTCTTTAACGTAATATTTTTTCTCAAAATTCTAGTATCTAAAGTATAAATATGTTTATTTTAGCCTCCTAAGTATATGTAGTCCATTGAATTTTCTGTCAGCCTAGTTTCGAGAAAATGGACCCCCTCTCCCCCCAAAAAAACTCCAAAACCCAGCTTGTCTTTAGTCCACAACTGGATCTATCTTATTCTCTAGTAGGGTTTTTGTGGAGAGAAATTGCTGATTGCTCTAATGTTTTTTAATAATGTACTGTATTTTAGACAGGCAAAGAATTAAAAAGGGTAACACTTGTACTGCTTTTGTTAAGGTTCTTGAGTTCTCATCAATACCAGTTTTCCTTGCATGGGTTTTGCATGTAGGATAAATTAACCAAATAACTAACCAGACCAAACCAAACCCATTAACTTACAGTTGATTTCCTACTTAGAGTGACTCTAAAGAATGGGATATAGGACCACACCTCATGGTGGTGACGGGCTGGGCGTGGTGTGGCAGTCGCTGACCTGCGAGCCTGGCGGGCATGCGCTGAGCCCTGGCCCGGCCTCCACGTGCCCCCGGGCTCTGCACCCCTGATGCTGCGTGGGTGCTGAGCCCTCTCTGGCTGGGACGATGGTGAAGTATTTCCTGGGCCAGAGCGTGCTCCGGAGTTCCTGGGACCAACTGTTCACTGCCTTCTAGCAGCGGTACCGAACCCCTACAGCAAGCATGTCCTGACAGAAGACATAGTGCACCAAGAGGTGACCCCAGACCAGAAGCTCTTATCAAGGCGACTCCTGACCAAGACCAACAGGATGCCCCACTGGGCCGAGCTACTGTTTCCTGCCAATGTCGCTCACTCGGTGTACATCCTGGAGGACTCCGTTGTGGACCTACAGAATCAGACCATGACCACCTTCACCTGGAACATCAACCATGCCCGGCTCATGGTGGTGGAGGAGCGCTCTGTTTACAGCATGAATGCTGACAACAGTGGCTGGACCGAAATCCACCGGGAGGCCTGGGTCTCCTCCAACTTGTTTGGTGTCTCCCGAGCTGTCCAGGAACTTGGTCTGGCCCGGCTCAAAGCAATGTGACCACGGCGATGAAGGGCTTTGAGTACATCCTGGCCAAGCTGCAAGGTGAGGCTCCTTCTAAGACGCTTGTTGAACCACCAAGGAAGCCACAGAAAAGGCAAAGGAGATGGCACTGGCAGCTACCGAGAAAGCCAAGGACCTTTCCAGCAAGGCAGCCACCAAGAAGCAGCAGCAGAAGCAGCAGTTCGTGTAATCAGCCTAGCCCTGTGCCCCTACCCTTGACCAGACGATCTGGTCCATTCCCCTGACCTGCCTGCAGTATGCTTTCTTAATTAAAAATCAACTTCCAGCCTCTTATCTACTGTCTGGGGCTGTGATGGGGGTGGGATCCATTTGGCACTACAGGACACCAAGCACGTCACCCATGTGTGTGCCAGGCCTGCTTAATTTCCCTCGTGGGCAGCTGAGGGACAGACAGAGAGGTGTAGACTTGCCCTCACAGGTCACAGTAGCCAGGAGATGTTGTCAGGAACACTAGACTAAGCTCCGCAAGAGCAGAGATCTGTTTGCTCTCTGATGTGTCCCAGGTACTGAAACAATACTTCGCACATAATAGGCACTCAATAAATACTTGTTGCTTTCAAAAAAGAAAGAATGGAATATAACTGCCCCTTAGGATTTAGCAGGCTGTAATCTTTTCTGATGGTATATAGTGGGTTACCTGTTGCGTTGTTAACTGCATGCTCAGCATTCAAAACCACTGTTGCTGTGTGGAAGAAAGATGAGGCTTTCGGCCCCTATGAAGAGTCTCTGGAATCCACGGGGCAGTTCTACTCTGCCATGTAGGGTCACTATCAGCCAGAATCGACTTGATGATAAGGAGTTTGAGTTTTGAACCCTTTAGAAAACATATCACTACATCTTTTTTTCTGTGAGGAGCAGTTAGTGGATCCCAAACAGCCAACTTTTCTTTTAGTAGCTGAGCTCTTAACCGCTGTACCAGTAGAGTTCAAATCCCTTAGGACAAAGAATTGCAATTCTAACCTGTTTCTCCTAAGCTTTGTGTTTAGGACACTGTGTTTGGAATATTTACTGTTAAGAACATCCATTAAGCTCTGCTTTGATGCAAGGCAAATGACTTTCTTTTTGGGTCAGGCTTGTGTAAGAGATTTTAATAAGCTATTTATGTGTTTTCTGTTATACTGGTTTATATGTTAAGAGGCTCAGAATTAACCATGTTTGATTGTCTTAATATGGTTGTTGAGAGATCCTCCTGTGGTGGAACCTTCTTATGTGCTTTCCCAGTTGTGCTGTGGCTGGCCCGCCTACCGTATATACTCGTGTATGAACCGAGTTTTTCAGCACATTTTTAATGCCGTTTTTTGTGGTAAAATAAGGTGACTCTGCTGATATTCGGGTCGCTTATACTCGAGTATATATGGTAATCTAGCTGGCTAATGTCCTTGTTATGGACTACAAACTCTAGCTTTTAAAATTATGTATTTCTTCATAGAGATACTAATTATTGAGATATTGAGACTGTCCAGCAATTCTCCTAAATTTTCACTGAATTGGACCAGTTGTTTCTTTGAGTTTTTGAGAGGAGTGGGTCAGAAGTTCTCAGTTATATAGTTTGTTTTCAAAGTTAACCTTTCTTTGATTAGGTGTGGATATAGTTTTGTGATTATCTAACATACCAAAAAATTTCCTCTACTACCTTAAAAAAGTATGTAATTGATTTTTTTTTAGCTAACCCCTCTCCTAAAAAATAGATCATTGATTTTTTTTGTTTAGTAAAAATACAAAGTTCAAAGATTAATTTTCCCACAAACAAGGACTTTTGACTTTAGGTGATTGTAAACAGTTATCAGGTATTCTGTGAATTCTCAGAGTGGAACATATTTCAGAGGTCCTTGAACTTTGAATTGCCTAGTGAGATGCCTCAATACAAAAGTCACAGGCAGAAAATTCTTAGGCAGGTGCTCCTTGACTTGCTTGTGCCCTCCGTTATTAAATCCTATGAGATTTTTTAATGAAAAGAGTTTAAAGGAATTGCCTGGCGTGATTTTTAACTGCAGAATCAGCCTCAACTGCAGCTCAAGGGAAGCAGATCTCTTTAAATGGGGTCAGGAATTTGCTTTTTTTCCCTTCTCTTTCTCAAGCCATTGTCCTTTTATTTAAAAAATAAAAGTTCTAGAATGAGTCAGGAGAATTGGGAGTGGAGGCTTAAATAATCATAACTTGGTTATTGGTTAAAACTTGCCCAAATTCTACCATAAAGTTTAATTCCACCTCTGAAAGTCCTGATTTTATTATTTGTTTTAATTTTCCTTTTTTATTAATAAATCATTTTATTGGGGGCTCTCACAGCTCATAACAATCAATTGGATCAAACACATTTGTACATATGTTGCCATCATCATTTTCAAAACGTTTTCTTTCTGCTTGAGCCCTTGGTATCCGCTCCTCTTTTTTCCCTCCACCCCCACCCTTCCACCCTCATGGACCCCTGATAAATTATAAATTATAAATCATATCTTACACTGTCCACTGTCTCCCTTCGCCAATGCTTTTGTTCATCCCCCTGCAGGGAGGGGGGTTTATACACTGATCATTGTTTCTCCCCCACCTTCCTGCTACCCTCGTGGTATCGCTACTCCCATTACTGTTCCTGAGACATTTTTCTGTCCTGAATTCTCTCGAGAGCTCTTAACTGTACCAGTGTACATGCTCCAGTCTAGCTGGATTTGTAAGGTAGACCTGGGGTCATGATAGTGGGGTGGAGGAAGCATTAAAGAACTAGAGGAATGAACTAGTGTTCTGTTGGTGTTATGCTGTACCCTGGCTGGCTCGTTCCTTCCTTGTGACCCTTCTGTAAGAGAATATCCAATTGTTTACAGATGGACTTTGGGCCTCCACTCTGCCCCCCATCATTTGCATCGACATATTTGTTTGTTTTGGGTCTTCTGATGCCTGATACCTGAACACCTTGTGATCACATAGGCTGGTGTTCTTCTTCCATGCAGGCTTTGTTGCTTCCCTGCTAAGGATTTTGCTTTTATTTTTTAAAATCATTTTATTGGGGGTCATACAACTCTTATCACAATCCATACATACATCAATTGTATAAAGTACATTTGTACATTCGTTACCCTCATCATTCTCAGAACATTTGCTCTCCATGTAAGCCCCTGGCATCAGCTCCTCATTTTCCCTCCTCCCTCCCTGCTCCCCCCTCCCTCATGAACCCTTGATAATTTATAAATTATTATTTTGTCATATCTTACACTGTCTGACGTCTCTCTTCACCCACTTTTCTGTTGTCCATCCCCCAGGGAGGAGGTGATATGTAGATTCCTGTAATCAATTCCCCCTTTCTACCCCACCCTCACTCCACCCTCCCGATATCACCACTCTCACCACTGGTCCAAAGGGATCATCCGTCCTGGATTCCCTGTGTTTCCAGTTCCTATCTGTACCAATGTACATCATCTGGTCTACCCAGATTTGTAAGGTAGAATTGGGATCATGATAGTGGGGGGGAGGTGCGGGGGAGCAAGCATTTAGGAACTAGATGAAAGTTGTATGTTTCAGTGTTGCTATACTGCACCCTGACTGGCTGGTCTCCTCCCCAGGACCCTTCTGTCAGGGGATGTCCAGTTGCCTGCAGATGGGCTTTGGGTCCCCACTCCGCACTCCCCTTTATTCACAATGATATGATTTTTTTTGTTGTTGTTCTTTGATGTGTGATACCTGATCTCTTTGACACCTCGTGATTGCCCAGGTGGTTTGCTTCTTCCATGTGTGCTTTGTTGCTTCTGAGCTAGATGGCCGCTTGTTTACCTTCAAGCCTTTAAGATCCCAGACGCTATATCTTTTGATAGCCAGGCACCATCAGCTTTCTTCGACCCATTAACTCTTATTATCAACTACTTTTTCCTTTAACAGTAATAAAATCTAATCTTATCTAACCAGTATGTTGGTATAAGAGTTGTAGTTTGTAGCTAGATGTGTATAGGTAACAGCTACAGGCATTAGCTGGAAAACATGATAATTTGTATTTTTCCCATATTGACAATCTCAGTACTCTGTACGATATATGTTGGTCAATAAACAAAATCCTAAATCTTGAACTTTTAAGAGTTAAAGGCAATTAACCTGAGCTTCTTTGAAAGAAAAGATTCTCAGTTCCCTGCAGTCCAAAATGAATAAGGTTTGGGGCACATATCTTTCAAATTTTAAAGATTTATAAGGAGTATTAAGTATTTAAACAAATGTAATGTAGATGTGACATTTACTAGGGTAACATCTTATTAAAAATAAAAAGCACATTAAAGAGAATGCACTGGTTATCAGGCTAGACATCAGGTCGTCTCTCTTTGGGAGTTGGGTGAGTGTATTAGAGTTATTACCCTGGTTTTATTTGTTGAAAAGCAGTACTGATGATTTGTTAGCCCATACCTCACACCCTCCCTAAAAGTCATTTTGTTCATAGATGAACAAAAAACGAATTCTGGGTGGCTTTGCTCCAAGCAGGCTCAAAGGGAAATGCTTAAAATGGAGTTCAAGAAATAATCTGGCCCCACCATTATATTTCCTCTTGACATTAGTTAGATCTTTTTCAGTTCTTCTTCATCTCTCAACCACTCCTTTATGTGAGGAAAGAAAAGCTGTAGTAAAACACAATGGATGGATAAACTTTCTTTCATGCTTAGTTCTGTTAGCTCAAATTTTCTGATTTTGTAAAATGTGCTATTATTATCATTGCAGGACTGCAAGCTTGACTTGAAAACTGTTTGTTTCCCAGAAAGGAGTGGTATTTTTAACCTCATGAAAGAGAGCTGGATATAATATTCAGCATAGGAGAGAAAAAAAAAACCCAGACAGAGCACTTGTAGTCAGGTTGGAAAAGTTGAAAAAGTAGGAATTTAGGTGAGGAAACCTAAATTCTTATCTTAACCATTAAAAAAATTAGTTATATGAGAACTCACTCACTGCCGTCAAGTTGCTTCTGACTCATACCTACCCTATAGGGCAAGGTAGAACTGCCCTTGCGGGTTTCCAAGTCTAACCATTTTTAGGATTAGAAAGTCTCATCTTTCCCTTGGGGAGTGACTGGTGATTCTGAACTGCTGACCTTGTGGTTAGCAGCCCATTGAGCAACCACTTTACCACCAGGGCTCCTTTGGCTTGTAAAAAGACAAGTTATTTTGCCTCTCAGTAATAGTTTTTAATTGTCCAAATGGTGATAATATCTACTAACTCACATAAGGCATGTAGTGTGAATTTAATACAAGGTAATTATGTGAACCACTCTTAAAAATGGATTTCCTAAATTAAAATTTTATGTGAATTTAAATGTTTCATCGTGGTTTAACTTCTAGGTCTTTTTTACGATATTGCTTCAAAAATAAAAGGGAGAGAAAACCCTTAAAACTTTTTACAAGAATGCCATAAATGACAATTAGTTACTTGATTTACTGTGTATTCAGCAAATAAATTGTTAAACATATTGTAAAAAATACAATCTACCTTTTGTTTGCATTTGTTTTTCATATGATTAAATATATTATTTTTGTCCAAGGTGGGGTCTCATCGTGTCCGTATGTCAAGGGGATTTGAAGCCAATGCACCTGCTTTTGACAGGTAAAACTGATAATCTTTATATAGTGCTGTAAATTTTGATACTGTTAACGTAATGAGAATAGCTATAATTATATTTACTGATTTAATAGTTTTGGCTATAAATAAAGTTCCTCTGACTAACGCTGGACAGACAGATGGACACAGTAGCAGCAACAGTGGTCTCAAACAGAACAGCCATGAGGATGGCTCAGGACCTGACAGGGTTTCATTCACTGGTCCATGAGGTCACTCTGCGTCAGGAACCAACACAGCAGCACCTAACAGAAGTGTGGAATGCACACCAATCTTGCATCCTTAGTACCCCTAAAAAGTAAAATATTTCATTAGTACAATTTTGTATTGATTCCATGTTGAAATGATATTTTTGAAGTTTTTATTTAGCTTAAATAAAGTATATTGGATATTTTATGTTTAAGATTTTAAAAAATATACTTTCTAGAAATTTTTAAATTACATATGTGGCTTACTTAAATTTTTCTTGGACCACATTGCTTTATAGCTTCTAAAATGGTTGGAAGTTGAGAAGAAAAGGATCTTATTCTGGATTTAATTTTATTCAGGCTTTTTGGGTAGGTCCCTCTGCATATGTCTGTGTGATGTTCTCACATATTAGGTACAGCCTTGTGCCTCTGCCCTTTTCACCTTCTCAGACAGCCTAGACAGCTGTGTTCTCTCTGCTAGCCCAGTGCCAGCCTCACATATTGGGGAGGGAGCTTCCTGACCAGATCCAGGGTAGTTGGGACTTGATTCTGCTCCCTTGGAAAGAAGCCAGTCTCAATTTCAGCACATTAGAGGAAGTAATATTTGTAGACAGTTTCTGTAAATTCAGAATTTCCAGACCATATAGAATTTTTACCCAATTTTGACTGTTGTGTAAGTTTAAAATATAGTTGTGTAGATTCTGTTGAATAATTTTGATTCTTGTTTATTGTGGAAAAAAACTAAAAGCCTTAAGCGTATCATTTGACGTGTTTATTTTCTTTATTTCTGTAATAGGCATTTTAGAACACTCAAGAATTTATATGGTAAACAAATAATAGTAAATTTGCTTGGGTCTAAGGAAGGTGAACATATGCTAAGTAAGGCTTTCCAGGTAAGTCTCATCATATTTTCTTCTGTTCTGGCCCTTAGACACTAGAATGGTACCTAAAAATTAAAATAGTACAATAATCAAGTTCATTCAGAAGTGAATTTCTGATAAGAAAAAGGCTAGATACTTGCTGAAACTAACTTTATTTCTTTGGGACTGTTAGAAAATAATTTACCGCATATACTTGAGTATAAACCGACCCAAATATCAGCTGAGGCACCTAATTTTTTTTTTATTATTTTATTGGGGGCTCGTACAATTCTCATCACAATCCATACACACATCCATTGTGTCAAGCACATATGCACATTTGTTGCCCTCATCATTCTCAAAACATTTGTGAGGCACCTAATTTTACTACCACAACTGCACAAAAAAATGTGCTGAAAAGCTCGACTTACACTTGAGTGTATACGGTGTCTAGTTCTGAAGCTGGAATTAGGAATGCTTTCAAGGCACTTGGAGCTGTTTCCAGTCTATTGTTTGTGTGTGGAAAAGCAGAATGCCTCTTCCACTATAAGCTTAAGCAAAATTGTTTGAAAACGATTTTCTAAAATTCAATCTAATACACTAGAATTTAGAAGTAACCTATGGTTTTGCTGTTTCTTTATAAATGTGTAAGGTAAATATTACTAGCAACCATACTTTGGAGACTTTTTATGTAAAACAGTTAAAAATCTGTAGAATATTGAATGAAGGTATCAAAACATTCAATGTGTGACTTTAAATTTATATTGTAAAAAACTTACTGCTGATAATTGAAAATTTTATTTCTAAATCTGATGAGATTATTTGAGTTATCTGATATTAATTATGTCTCTTAATCTTTCATGGATAGTAAATGAGATTTAGAGAAGAAATGCTATTAAGTTCAGCAAGTAATTTTCCATTTTACTCCCAGTATCGATGAAAGCTTTGTGATAGGATTAGTAAGATTTCAAAAAACATGATGAGGTGTTGTTGTTTTATTCATTTACAAGATAAGGTTCCATTTTAGCATGCATTGTTAAGTTATATTTTGTTAATATGTAGATGAGCATTTATTTGCCTTTTACTTTCAGAGTCATTTGAAAGCTTCTGAACATGCTACAGATATCCACATGGTGAATTTTGACTATCATCAAATGGTTAAAGGAGGAAAGGCAGAAAAACTGCATAGCATTCTTAAACCTCAAGTCCAAAAGTTTCTAGATTATGGATTTTTTTATTTCGATGGAAATGGAGTTCAAAGGTTTGATTGTTTCTCCGTTCTTTACATTGAAGCTTTACTGTCATTTTGGAGTGACAGCATTGGTGCCTTAAATTTCTTTTAAAAAAGATTTATAAGATATTTATTTTACTTTAGACTTTTTCTTTGATCACTTTCTATGTGGCAGACAGTACAAGTGATGCTTTACATGTATTAGTAACAACAATTGTAGGTTAGATTCTATTATTGTCACCATTTTACAATTGAGGAAATTGATCTGCTCCAAGCCACGTAACCAGGAAGTCTTACAACTATGATTCTTTGAGCTTCAGTCTGCTGGTGTCTGAGTCTGTGCTACTTCTCCCTGAAAACTAGTGTTTTAATATTTCTTGATCTCAGTAAGGATTTTGCTACCAATAGACATTTTGTATTTGCAAAAAGAAGACATTGCTGGAATGTCTAATTAAGATTAATATGAAAATTCAGCTTTGACATATGAAGTGAAGAAGAAAAATTTTGAAAGATTTAAAACTATAGAGTTAGGTAAACTTTAGTGAACAGAATTCACAATAAAATTTTTTTTTCTTATTAGAGATGCTAAATCTTAGACTTTTAAATTAATCAACCCCCTAACTATGTTTTCATATGCTGAAGACTGTGGAAATATAAACCTGAATGTCTATTTAGCTTTTTTTATTAGTCTCTTTAAAAATAAATGGGTAAGGGTAGCTAGATGGCAAAATGTTAAAATTGTAGGATCCAGGGAGTGGCTATACGAAGGTTCACTATAAATACTTAAAAGCTTTTTGTGTATTTGAAATATAGAAAATAAGAAGGGACAGTAGGTGCTACAGGTTAATCACCTTACTTTTTCTCAGTCTTATTTTGGTTTGATTATTTTGACTCCAAATCAGCTGTTTAATTCATTGAATTTATTACAGATGCCAGAGTGGTACGGTTCGAACAAATTGCTTGGATTGCCTTGATAGGACAAATAGTGTGCAGGCCTTCCTCGGCTTAGAGGTAAAAAACAAAGCAATGTGTATATGTGAATTGTTGCATAAGCTTCTTGCAGTATTTTTGAAAAGCCATGATGAAAATATACATAGCAATTTTAATGTACAATTCATTGACTTGTCTCTTACTACTTTCGTAACAGATCACTCAAGGTTCTTACTAGTTATTTTTCTCAAAATAGCATGAAGTTATGCTTTATTAATGACTTTCTTATCCTTCTTCCACCCCTTTTGATATGAATATTTACCTTACCTGTTCTTCTGCTCTGTTCTTTACGTGGTTATGTATGTGGTTCCTTCTATGTAGACTTTAAACTTCCTCTTTTAAATACTACTCTTTATGTTATTCTAATAATTGCCCTTTGGGGGCCTATATTTCAGAAAGAATATTTTAGACTCATTCTCTGTGTTGTAGTTTAAATGTACCTTTTAAAATGGTCTGTTTTCACATGTACAATTATTATTCTAATAATTGCCCTTTGGGGGCCTATATTTCAGAAAGAATATTTTAGACTCATTCTCTGTGTTGTAGTTTAAGTGTACCTTTTTAAATGGTCTGTTTTCACATGTACAATCCTGCATTTTGACAAAGTCTCTTATCCAATCCAGTTTGTGTGGCATTTTCAAATCTGCAGCTTTAAAAAAGTGAATGAGAATAACTTCTCTAAGAGGTTTTTGTTGAATAAAAATTTTCTTTACTCTTTCTCCATTCTGAAGCATAGTCTGAACTCTTGCTTCTCTATCATGTGAAGTCGAAGATAGGCAGAGTCTGGACTTTACTTGACAAACTATAGCAGTGCTGTTTGCTAAGTCTTTTCTGGTATACAACAATCAGCGTCTCAGGCTGTGATACAGTTTCATTTAGATCAGTGGTTCTCAACCTGTGGGTCGCAACCCCTTTGGGGATCGAACGACCCTTTCATAGGGGTCGCCTAAGACTCGGAAACATATTTACGATAGTCTTAGGAACCGAGACACTGCTCCTCTATCCGTCTCCAGGTGGGTCTGCCCACATGCAATTATGAGTACCTGGCGTGAAGACTGTTATCCATGCTACACCATGCTTCAAGACAAAAGTTCATTTATTTGTCACTAGAAATAAATATTTCACAGTATATAATTACATCTTTTTTGTGTGATGAATCACAAATCTTTAATTATATTCAATTTGTAACAATGAAAATACATCCTGCATATCAGGTATTTATATTATGATTCAAAACAGTAGCAAAATTACAGTTATGAAGTAGCAACAAAAATAATTTTGTGGTTGGGGGTTACCACAACATGAGGAATTGCATTAAAGGGTCACGGCATTAGGAAGGTTGAGAACCAATGATTTAGATTCATAGGACTTAACATAGTTCTCAAGCAGCTTAAAAACAAACATCTAAAAACCCAGAAAGATGAAATGGCATATTCTTATTTCCTGTATGAGTTAGAATTTCCCGGAGGGAAGTTGTTTTTGGTTTTTTATTTCCTCCGTTAATGATCTTAAAGTTGGCTAGGATATAATTTAATTGTATACCCTGGAGCTGAAATTCTCTGTATAATGAAAATTAAATTATAGTGCATAAGATGTCTGCTACGGAAAGGCATTTTTCATATAATTTTACCGTTTTGACTTTTTGAACTGTATTAGAAGACATGGGTTTGTTACTAGTTGTGTTTTTAAGTGGCTGAGTTTAGTTACATGGATTCTAAGAGAGTACTTACTGAAAACTTTGAAAATCTTCATTAAATGTATACTAGATGTTAGTTTTTAGAACACTCCCATATAGAGCGATTGGTTGACTGCTTACAAAATTTACTGCCAAGGTAGCAAAGCTGAAATAAGATCAGTTTTGTTCTATTCATTGACATTTTTTTCAGAGACAGATAATGATAAAAATTGTGATGGCTTATTTTGTCTTATTTTCCATGCTAGTAGAGAAGTTAGTGTTGGTGCCAGTTTCTAGGCTGTAAAATGAATACAGTTTAGGGTTTTAGATATTACTGTATACTTGGAACCCTCTGTAATTATGTAACAGTGATTAAGTAATTGGCTCCTAACCAATTAGTCAGTGGTTCGAACTTACAAGCTGCTCCTTGGGCGAAAGGTGTGGCATTCTGTGTTTGTTAAGATTTTACACTGTTGACTGTGGCGCCATTTTTTACCTTCTAGGGTCACTTTGAGTCAGAATTGATGTAATGGGTGTTGCTTTCCCCCCCCTTAGTATAATTATGGTTAATCATGGAATTTGTAGATTAAAAGTTAAAAGAAACTTTAATAGGAAGGAATTAAATAAAAATGCAAGGCATAAAGTATGGCTGAATTCTAAATAAAGGATATATATTAGTAGATAAGATTTGTACACTTTTGTTTTGACACTATTAGTTTTCAAGACTGTACTAACATTCAGAATAATTACTTTTTCTGGAATTATTATTGAATATTTCTTGAATTAAATAATTACATTTCAGAATAATTACCAATTACTTTTCTTGGTACATGAGATGAATGTATATTAGTTGTCCAAAGCTTGTTGAATTCCTTACATGCTATGTTTCCTCTAGTCCTTCCTTGTACACATTATTAGTATAGGCCTTACATATAAGAACTGCCCTGCCTTTGTTCAGAGATGCAACTCAAGTTGCTGTACGTATATACTCAAGTATAAGCCGAGTTTATCAGCACTTATTTTTTTCTTTAAATCATTTTATTGGGGGCTCATACAATTCTTATCACAATCCATACATACATCCATGTGTCAAGCATGTTTGTGCATTTGTTGCCATCACCATTCTCAAAACATTTGTTATCTACTTGAGCCCTGGTCCGTTATCTTTTTTTTTTTTATCGTTTTATTAGGGGCTCATACTACTCTTATCACAATCCATACATACGTCAATTGTGTATCAGCACATTTTTAATGCAGTTTTTGTGGCAAAATTAGGTGCCTCAGCAGATATTCGGGTTGTCTTACACGAGTATATATGGTACTTTTGTAGCATTTCAAGAGCAGCTCTCGTTCTATAATTTTTGACCTTTAAATATCCAAGTTTATAGAACCAAATTCAAAACTTAAGTAAACTTAGAGAACAGTTACATAGGGGGAAAAGCTAAACTTAAATATTCCCATATGTAATTATATAAACTAGATAAGTATTTTTTTCTGCTGTAGTTCATGCTTTTGAGCAGTTAGTCCTTTTTTTTTTGTTGTTGTTGTCAGCATTATTTTCTTTTTTTTTTTTTTT